TCCACCCGCTAGAGCATAGAAGTGTAGTGGGGTACCCTCTGGTTCCGGTTAAAGGGGGGGGGATCCAGAAGCATCAGGCTGCCCCCCCCCCCCCCCCCCCTTGTATTGGCTGTTGTCCACACTCGTTCGACCTGATCCGTCCTCGACGTGACCCTTGGCGCTCCCCTACATGTACGTAACCGTTTTGTCGAAGGTGTCGACGCACATCCTAGAAGACCATACCGACGAAGTGTGGTGCTGCAGGTTTTCCAACGGAGGAGGCATGCTCGCGACCTCCTCAGCAGACGCCGTGCTCATCCTGTGGGACGTGGGCAGCGGCGGCGGCGGCGGCGGCGGAAACGAAGGAGGAACGGGGGGGAGGGGGGGGACTTGTCCCATCTCTCTTCGCCAGCGTATTCAGGTGCGCTCGCTGTGCGCGTGTGTTGCGCGTTTTTTTTGGGGGGGTCTCTCCGGCTTGTTACCCGTTCTTGTCTATGACCACGTCTCCCTCGAGACAGCCTTTGCTGGAGATTAAGTTTATGAGGAAATAGAACAGGGAGGGGGTACGCAGACCCTATTCCCTAACCCTAGCCCTAACCCAACTTCCCGGATTTTGCATGTTTTATCCAATGTGTTTACTTGGCAGAACAAAAACTGCGACGGCTACTGCTCCGTCGTGGGTGTTTTGGTTGCCTACGCCTGCTGCTGTTGGTTCTTTTTGATGTTTGTCGTACCCTGTGATTGACCGGAATTTCTTTTTTTGTGTGTCGAGGGCATCGGAAACTACGCGTAACGCACCCGGAACAATCCGGCTGCAGTTAGCGCGGCTTACTTTGGGCTCGCTTGTACAACATCGATATCATCCCCCCGGTTTGTGTTTGCTGAGTATGTACGAGACTTGTAGAAAAACCGGTGTTGATAGCTGGTTGTTCTTGTAAACTAGGCGCGAGAGTTGTCAACCTTCCATGTATGCCATCTCTGCTTTTTTCTTGTGTGCGTCAAATAGGCGCGAAAACTTTCAAAACCATCCATGCATGTGACCCCTGGTTTTGTTTTGCCAACGACCATAGGTGCGAGACTCTGCCAACATGCGATGTATATGTGTCATTTCATTCCCTGTTTATTTGGGTTTCGCCAACCATTGCAAGTGCGAAACTCAAGGCAACATTCCAAGTTGTAAAATTCGATGTATATGCGTCATCCCTGGTTTTGTTTCCTCCAAGTTGCAACATTCGATGTATATTGTATGTCATCCCTGGTTTTGTTTCCCCCAGCTATTATAGGTCCCGAGACTCGTGAAACAAACATCCGATGTATGTATACATATACGCCATCCCCGCCGTCAACTATTAATGCCATCTACAGGTGCGAGACGGCGCCCCGCAGGTCCTGGCTTGGAGCCCGGACGACCGGTGGCTGCTGACCTGCGGCGGCTCCTCGGAGGTGACTCGCTGGGACGCGGCGTCGGGGTCGGAGGCTAGGTGCTACGGCGGCGAGCACACGGAGGATGTCACGGAGGTGGCTTGGCTGAGAGACGGCCGCGGCTTTGTTTCGGCGGGGCTCGACAGGTCGGTCGGCCGGTTAGGGTTGTAGGGTTAGCGTCAGGACCGCCTTCGCGAGGAGTTAAGCGTTGCTGTATGCTACGTATGTGTGAAATAGAGAGGGGGGGTTCGTAGCCCTTACCCCCAACCCAATCAACCCCGTAAGCTTTACTAGAACCAAGCTTAGTGTCAGCGCGAAGGCTGTTGTTCGGCTATGTAGGCCGCTCGCTCTTTTTTTCTCTTCGCTCTTGAGGTGGTACCCGTTGTTGTCTTCACATATATGGCGCGCGCGCTCTTTTTCTCCCGAGACAGACGTGCTTGTTGCTGTTGTTGTTGTTGTCTTGAAGTTATTAGCAAAACCGTCTCCTGTTGAGTAGGTACCTTCCGACATCCGCGGTCCCACCGACGCGGGCGCCTACCGTGGTCAGTGGCCAACCCGCTGCAGTCTCCAATTCCGCCCCCGTACCACATGAACCCTGGACCGCAATCATGCCCGTCACACGCCATTGCTTTGGACATGTTGTCGCGTACCTCGCCCGCCTGAGAACCTGTCCTACTCCACTGCTGTAGCCACTGATAGCCGACCCCCCTCCGCGCGTTGCCGCAGTCGCCATTGACACCGCTCTCTTTTTTGACCACTCCCCCCCCCCCCCAAGAAACTGGGGGTCTGGAGCCCTGGGAGGAACGTGCTCTCCGTTTGGGAACGCACCACCCGATGGCCCGACCCAGGTGATGACAAATACCATTTGAGCCTCTTTTCGATCTCGTAGATGCCAATTTTTGTCTGGGCGATTTTA